AAGCTTTGGTAACAAAAACTAAGAAAAAAATTGTCATGAACTGTAAAGGATAAATCACAATGTCTAGATATTTTTGCTCTCATGCAATTGCTTTATGCTTCAGCTTTTGATACAGTATTGACATCCATATTAGTTAAACGCAAATCAATCAATCAGTCAATCAGTTTTAATTTTATGGAGTGCTTTTTCATGGTAAGGACCTTCTTAAAGAGCTTTATAAGTCATGCTACATTGGAGCAGAATGGGACCTAGTGCGCAAAATGACTACGTCTCTATATTTAAATATTATTGTTACTGCTGCCACTTTCCTGCTGCGTGTGAACCGTTCCTAAGCAAGAGGCTTCTGTAGGAATGAGACCGCTTGGGCACCGACTGACAAAGGAGTGACATTTAAACTGCAATGGAAAAGGGAAGAAATGGAGGACATGCAAATGAAGCAGAAGACAAATATGTAAGAAAGGTTGCAATTGATAGGAGGCCTTTTGGTCAATCTTTCTTATTTTCACTAAGTAAATCAAAAACTCCATCCTTCCACTCCTTGATAGATCCTAGAGTCTGGGCCTCACCTACCTGTGTGGGACCTCTGCTCCAAACATGCACAGCTGTTTGTCTAAAGAAGCCTTTCATTTACTCTGCACTAAGTCAGTTCTCTTTTAGTTCCCTCCAGATGGGAGCCAACATCTGTGTTTTTCTACTGTGTGTAAGATAATTCCCTGATTTGACCCTATATTTACCCCATAGGATTTTATATACTTATACACTGAAGTGGCTTAGCTCCTTTAACTTGTCTTAGTATGACAATACCCTGAGACAAGAAATCCATTTAGTTGCACTTCTTTAAACTCTTTCTAAACCAAGAATATCCAGTTTTATGATATGTTGGATAACACCAATTATAATACTCTAAATTAAGTCTTTCTAGTACATTGTGCATAATTTTCCTTGATTTAAATTACACATTTTTCACTATCTACCAAAGCATTCTGTTTTTTACTGCCTAGCAATGTCTTCATTATGTAGAAAAATCTACAATAAACACCCAGAACCTTTTCCTGCTTCCTGCTGCTCAACAGGATCCATATAGAATATGTTCCTACTCCCTCTATAGACTGCTTTGCAATGTTTGTCAACATTAAATTTAATATGCCTAGTGTCTGCCCAATCCTGATTTTTTCTAAGACTTCGGATAATTCTATTTTTTACACCCTACCTGTTTTTTGGACTCCCCTAATTTTGAATCATGAGCAAATTTAATATGTTTTCTTACTATATCTGGATTGTTCCTTGATATACAGTAGATCAGGAAAAGCAGCTGGCCTAAAAAAGAACCCTGCTGTACACCACTACTTACATCTGTTCATTCAGAGGTTATATACCTTAAGAAGATGTGCTATTTCCTGTTTATTAACCAGTCCTTGATCCTCGTACAAGCATTAATTTGATTCATATTGCTTTTCATTAGGAATAAAATGTTTTTCTAAGGTTTTCTGTAAATCTAAATATACTGTATAACATATGTCATCTGTTTTAGTGTTATCATCTGCCCCGTTGCTGGTGTGAAGAATTCCAGCTAAATAAGAACTTCCCTGTCAATCCAATGTTGCGAAATTTGTTAAATGCCATTTAATATTCTTCTAATTTAACCATATTGTTTCCATAAAATTAACAAAAAAGGAAGTCTGCTTGGTCTACAATAAGACTGCTTAGTTCAGTTCTGTCCTCCTTTTTATGAATAGGTGTTCAATTCAGAATTCTGTGGTCTGTAGGTACTGCTCCAATTCTATGTGAGAGTGGACATATCCTAATTATGAACCTGTGAATCAGATCCATCATTTCTTGAAGACTGGGAAATACAGTCAGACAGAAGCAATTTATTAGTTTTTAGTCATTGTAACCCATGAAGACCTCAATGCCACTTATACTTAAATTATGAAGTACTATATGATCTTGTTATATAGCACAGGACATTGATGTCTTTTAGTGTAAAAACCATGCATGTCATGTTAGTTTAGCATGCTTACTATGTCTTTTCTTTCCTATATTGTTAGTGGTAACAAATCTTTTCATTATTACCGTAGTTAAAAGTCACCCCAGCCGTTAATCTAAGCAAGTTTTAAGAAGTAATTCATTTAGACCCCTGAACCATCCAGCACATCTCAGCACTTAAAAATTCCCAATTTATTTTCTACCTATTAAAAGTGCACTTTAGACTGAATATTCATTTCACTTTTATAAAGCCATAATGTGTAGGTTTGCCAGACCTCACAGATACATCCTTTTCTCCTATTCTGACTAAAGAAATTAATAGAATTAAAGCCATTTATTATTCTGTAATTAACTGTGAAACTCTGTAATAAACTGTTTTTGGATAGCACAACTGCTGTCTTGATTCCAGCCTGGAACACCCTCTGTGAGGAGTTTGCATGGTTCCCCATAGGGCTAAACCATTCAAAATCCATGAGATTAACATTCAGAAATAAAACTAAAAAGACATGTACATTAGACTTGTCTAGTAACCCTTGAATAAAGTGTAGAGGCTTATGAATATAAAGGCAGAAAAGAGGGTATTTAAACCCCCTAAGAGGAAAATAAACACAAATATTTGATATTGAACAAAGGGTTTGAGCAAATAATCACATTCTGACTCTTTGTGTTAAGGTACTGAACATATGTAAAACATACAGACTTCTTCTAATGACCAAGAACTAGAACACCAAGGTGGACAATGATCAGAATGTGCCGTTACTTGGACTCTTTTCTGCATAAAAGGAACACAGGGAATATAAAACTATTCATAAAAATAGGTTACCACTTTAGGAGTAATTGATAATTATGGTGATGATGATGGTTCCCGCAACACCGTATGGTATAAAGCAGTTTGGTAAATGACACGACGTGACATGATGATATTATTATTATTATTATTATTATTATTATTATTATTATTATTATTATGAATTAACATGTCAATACCTCCTAGTCACAGCAGGAACCAAAATAATGGTGAGGAATACATTATCTGAACTTATATTCGTCAATATTTCCATTTTAAAATAAAAAATAATATTTGTGTGCGTTTTCCATTGCACGGGGACAGAAATCGGTGAGCATTATTCACAGAACAATGCAGATAGCCACTTTTGGAATAAAGATCAGTTCTGCATAAACTTGTCCGTATTTGTTACTTTTTACAATACTTAACACAATTGTACAAATAGTGTTATACACTCTTCATCGTGCTTGACAGAAGAACAGTAAATGCAGAACGATTTTTTAAGTATTAACATCAATTAAAACAAAAACATTTATAATTAAAAATATTTGTGCATTACACCTTTTTATTCTGATGCTTTGCCACAGACCGTCCCAAGCGAAGACAGTAAGTTAAATAAGTCAGTGAGTAATTACTCGCGAAAGAACAATCGAAAATATAGATTAACAATGAAAATAATTACTTAAAGGGTTGAAGATCTTAGCGATTGATTTTCTAATGTGAAAAGAACGAACAGCTGGAACGGACAGTGAACAGAAAGGGTAAAAAACAAGTTGTCCAAAGAATATGAAGAAAAATGTGCTGAATGAAGACCAGCTTCTGGATACCGCTAAAATGAGAAACGTCTCATTGTAGTTCTCACTGAAAGACAGGTAACAGGAATCAACGTGATGAAAGCGATGTTATTCCTAAACCATTCTGAAAGTCTATTTGCGTGTCTTTCAGTTTGAATGTGATAGGCAGCGTCTGAAAATTTCAATTTGCTACGATACAACGCTAGCTCCCGTCAACTCAGAACAAGGCCAGAGGGTCTCTAGGGATTTTGAACTGGATTTGAAAGAAAGGCGGAAAAAAACTCAAATTAATGTCTAGCAAGTCACGGATTTGTGTTAGTGAGCAAAAGCTCTATCTGCTCTTGTCGGATACAAAGTTGTGTATAGGTATTATCACAGTTTTCACTACAGCATCTTCGAATGTACCAAATCTATAAGCATTATTCATAATTAGAACAAACGTTAACAAAATCTGAATAAGAACGTACAGTATCTAGGCATCAAATAGGAACAACTGCAGTACTGTGTCTTATCGATTGAGCGTTGCTTTAAGGTACTTGCTATGACTAGTAATTTTTCGAAGATATAATCCACAGCATGCACTTAACTACTTATTTCAATGTATAAACGTGCACCTTAGTTGTGGTTACAATATATCTATGATGATCCGATAAAAGAAAAAAAAAATATCTGAAATGTCACTTTATAATCATGTGTTATGGTATGATTGGGGAGTCAGAATAAAATCGTATACCTGCTGATTTAAAATAAAATATTCTCACGTGTTTGGTGTTAATGAAAATGCGAATGAATTCTAGAAAACACTCAAAGCCACCTTCTACTATCAGTGCCCTCATCGGAATGAGTCTCGCGTAACACCGTATTAGTACAGTTAAATTATTATTTCATTCAACTAGCACACAGGCTTCCTTTTCCTTGTTAACATTTAATAATAAACACCAATACAGAGTGAAAATATAAATACAAATACAGCGACGTAAAACGGTGTTTAATACTCAATCTACGAGTCTGACTGGCTTCGGTTGCATTCCTACCGTACAAGAAGACATTTCAAAATAGGATTCGCACAGAACTAGAGCCAATGAGAAGGTTTTAGAAATGTCGCCGTGAACCTTAATCTTAATTCTATTAAGACAGCTAAACTATACATATTCCCCTTTAAAAAACTTCAAATAAAACAATCAAAATATGTATTGTTTTGTAAATCATATTCAAATATGGCAGTGTTACGAAAACATAATGGTGAAATTGCTTACAAACTTGCTTGCAAATAAAAATAATTTACAAATCCAGTGGAGTGCTTTCTCCACTGACGTGCAATGTTTTTACGTTTTCGTGTTTTGCCAGTGTGAAACTACTTGTGAGGGAAAAAAAAGACAGACAAGCAGGACACCATGTGTGCGGGTAGAAAGCACGGAAACAGTCCCACTCACTTGAAGAAATCCTCTTTGCAGTAGACGTTCCCCGCCCTCGAGAAACACTTCTCCGCCAGCAGAGCGTGACAGTCGGCGCACTTCAGGCACTTGGAGTGCCAGTGTCTGTCCAGCACCTTCAGGATAAACTTGTCTAGGATGTGTTGACTGCAGCCAGCGCACTGGGGAATTTCTGCAGGAGAAAAAATAACAAAATGCAACTTAATTTATTCCATCTATTCCATCTGCACAAGAGCAACTAATATAGAAATGGTATATGCCCCATTCTTTAAACCACTACAATAAAAGCAAAGAGAAATGTTGTAGAAAACTAAATTACAATATAACGTATCATTGAGGAACAAATTAAAAACAATGTAATAATAATAGCAATATTTATCAAGATCAAATGCTAGATGGCCGGTAGCGATTTCAGTCATTTTCTTTATTTTTCCTAATTTGCGTGCTCGATTTTAATTAAAATTGTGGCTAATTACTATAACAGTATTATATAATAGACAGATGTCATAGACTTATTATATATCACAAAATTAAATATTGGAATCATCAAACGTGTAGGTTTCGCCACTGAAAATGTCTGTACGTTTATGTATTACCTGCAGTGAACGTGCGCCGTAACTCAAGAAAATAAGCGGTGTCTCGCGATAATTTCGAGATTTTTCAGAAGCTGAAAATAATAGAAATACCAGCATCTATTCCTAATAATGACTTACACGTTTTTTTTAAAGACCAAAACACATTTTTCTACTGATTTACACTTTGAGTGTGATTAAAAAAAATAATTAGCAAAAATCAGTGTTCTTCTGTATAAACTCCATTATATTAATGGTAGTTTTATGCAAAGTTACTTCTGAACTTAACGTTTTTGGCAAATGAAGGACTGATCAATAAAGCATTTTTTCACCATTTACTCTACAGTGTACAGTACGTTTATGGGGAAGTACAGGAGTAACATCTGTATGTGGGTATGTGTAAATGTGCAGTATACAGTACGCACACATATAAGAAAAACCTGGCGATGTTCTCGTTATTGTAACAGATACCTAACCCTGTTAAAGTTTAAGAACAGCTATCTTAATTAATACAAGTACTGCAGCCTATATTAAATAAGCCATTCCGCTAAGTACTGTGTATATGAGAGTACTTAAAATTTCGTATTCAGTTTTGCTCACACCTTAAAAACATAAAGTAGATTGAATTTGCTTCTGGAGGGAATTTCGTGGTCTGCATGTACTGTAGGTTTTGCTCAATTAACCTTCTTGTCATGTACAATTGCTTGATGATTTTTTTTTTTTCACGAGGATGACAAAGATGAAACTGTCCTACATTTTTTAATTCATAGATTTCCTGCTTGCTGTTAGGCTGTTTGTAATTAATTGCATGCGTGGCATATACACCTAATCATAAAATTAAATCAATGTTTAAATGGCGTTTTGACAGATTTTAGCTTAGAGATGTCCCACGTCTAAGGTTTGACCGTGGGGCACATGTCTAAATGTAATAACATCTGTACCATGGAGTATGGATTTCGGTTTTGACCAGACTCTCACACGAACTGATTTGACGAAACCAACCCTTAGACTTTCAATACGTCTATTCCGGTGATTTCAGAATCCATATAAGATGTACAGACTACGTGAAGCCTCGACATCCATGTACGCAATATTAAACAAGGGTCAGTAAAAAACAATGGATTTAGGTCCAACAATGGATCCAATGGACCAAAGAGAGCTATATTTCTAATATATGCTCTAAATCACTCATCCAGTGGACCCCACGTACCAAAAAAGGGGCAGGAAATTGGGGCCAGGCTGGTCACCTGGTATGAAATCCCCTTTAAGCACGTGTGGACCATCCTAGATCGATCACGCGAAAGCGTCCCCCATGTTGCCTTGCGTGGTGACTGAGCTGAAGGACTGGGTCTAGTGTCACCCACCTAGAGCATCGATTTCAACGCAAAAGGTGGACTGGAACTCCCTTAAACTCAACACAATTCAACACAAAACCAAGTTAATATTTTGTGTAACTGCCATCGCAATCAATACGCTCGATCTCCTCTTTTACCTTTATGGTGGAAACTTCCTCAAGGCCAGTGTCCGCCCTTAGACTGTATGATTGATTTCTACTGTAACTGTAGTTTCTGTGTTTTGTTGCTTTTGTTACACCTACTGTGAACAGTACACTACAGCTCTGCATTTTTAATTTTTGTAACATTTTGTTTTGGTTGCAGTATCATTTGATGCTACAGTATATTAGTTCCTTTCGTTTACATTACTCTGTATTATATAGTCCTGCATTAAAATGTTATTGTTCATTGTCTGTAGCCACATTGGATAAAGCCGACTGTTAAATAAGCATTTTCCGTGGTCACAGAAAATTATTTTGAAAGTGTTTACAGTTTTGAAAGCTGAAAAATGTAGAGCGTAATTCAGTAGATGAACAGAATAACAGGAGTGAAAACGTATGTACAGTAAGCGATGGGCAATACCATAATTTTAGAAAATACATGACTCTTGTATGATATTTCTGATCGGCTTTGAAAGTGTAAGAAAAATAAAAATTAATATTTTTAACTTTTAAATTATGTATTTTGCTCAGTTTTCCGCCATACCAAGATTTTAGGTGAACTAAACCTATATACACCATGATATAAACCTCAGGTAATTTTGAAAACAATAAAATACAAAGTAGTTATATATAATAGAAAAGTACATTTGAATATTAATACTAAAATGGGCTCGTACTGTCCGTTTACGAATAAGACAGCAATAAGATCTTACATTATTTTTGTTATGAACGACACATCGAAAACACAATTTCTAATTTTCCCACACTACAAAATTATTTTTTGCCGTAAAAAAAAAACTGTGCAACGATGACGGTGATGACGACGACAACAACAATGGTGTGTTTATAAAAATGTGTATTTTTTGTTTGCTAATCATAACCCAGAATTGTGTAGTACCGGTTTGTATGGTTTAAACTTACAATATTATACCTCTAACAAAGCAGGAGTTTGAGGTTAAACCAGGCTATCGCTTAGTTCGTATTAAAAAAAATCTAATATTTGAATGTAGTGTATATGAGTACTGTTACTTTCAAAAATTAACAATTAAAAAAAATATATTTAAACTTGACATTTTTGTAAACAATACATGGTATATTAAAAAATATTTTTTAACATTTTAATTTTAAAGAGCAGTTTTATGTAGCTTAAATCCAGCAATGAAACTTGCTTTTGTTAACAACCCTGTTAAAAACATACTTGTTAGATAACGCAATGTTGGGTGTTTGTGTTAAAACCCTTAAACTATTCCTAGAAAACGTCGACGAATCACTGTTAGCCTGTTATTTTCTAAAGATACATAAAATATCTGCTTAAAATGCCTCTTCATGTTCCATGTTCTAACAAGTGAAACTACTATACTGTCTCGCATCTCTTACAGCAGGTCGGGCGTTCTTCAAGTTAATCAATAATGCTTTTTACTTGCTTCACAACTCATTTAAAATGTGAGTCTACACTTTTAAAATAAATTGAATAAACATTGCGTTGCATATCAACACACGCTAAAATGTCATAAATCTGAAATCGGAATACCATTGGTGAAAGACTTCGCTTAGAAGAAATTACGACTTCAATTTATAAGTGGAAAGGAACTCGATGCATGCTATTCCGATGAGGAGGGACTGCATATACTGTACACATTAGGCCATATTAATAATTCCAGTTTCTGATGGACAGCTGTTTCTTATTGTATTTTTAAGCCTCATGTCCAATTTGAAATTGTGAAAAACATTGTGAAATATTGTTTCATATTGCAATAAAAGCCGTTGCCTTACAATTTCTGGATGTTTTTTCTTAAAGGACAAAACTCCCGGCGAGGTGCTGAATGGACAGCGCCGTCAAAGTTCTATAAACCAACAGAGTTACTGACCTCTGTAAAGTTCCCATTTCCTCCCTCGCCAGAGCGCCTTAGACCTGTTCTACTGTCTAGCTCTCGTTTGCTTCAGTCTCTGGATTCTCGTCTTGAAGAATCCCACACGGGTTTGGCTATCCTCACCGGTCTGCTGACGTAGCCTAATGTCCATTGTACTGTAGATAACCTCAGTTCACCTGAGACTTGAGGCCTTAAAGCTTCAAAAATCTGTTGTTACTTCACGGCGACGCGCCGACCAGAAACCTGACACCTGTATTCCACTTTCTACTGACATCCGACTCAGCGCCACAATGAACCGCAATCTGGGCGCATTCCACGAACTCTCTTTCAAAACGGATGCAATGTGCACAACACTGAAAACAATGTCTTTGAAAGGCTCAAAATATAACATATAAATTCCAGACAAGAGAGAGCCCGAGACCGCATTACAATGGACCTTGGATATTTGAAACTACGAAGTCAGTTCTACGAAACTACGAGTTTGTCAATTCTAACTCATTTGTAGGTTTTGTTAGAAGAGAATGAGTGTTAAAACCATAAGATTCAATATTTATTATATAAAAAAACATGTTTATAGATTAAAGTTAACATGTTTATAAATGATTAAATATTTCTAAAGCAGTAAAATATTTAAGAATATATTTTGTAACGGCCAGAATATTCTCAACATAATCGTAGTTTCAGTATTTATTTTTTCGAAAAAGTATCACTATTATTATTGTCGCTATTAGTATTGCAACAGTTCTCGGGGGCGTTGTAAAACATAATATCAAACGCGTGGTATATTTTGAGTAAAATTACATTAGTTCTATTGGTTAATACAAATAATAATAAAAAGGTCCAAATGCAATTCTTCTGCTGATAATAATATTCGTGTATCTATATTTCCAGCTAATTATTGTTAAATTTTATGTAACAGAAGAAGACGAAAAACGAAAGAAGACGAAAGATATGACGACTATTTGTCATGTAGCTGTTTTAACAACCGTTTTTCATAGTTCGTATAGAGAAGTAATTTGTAAACTAAAAATGTACATATAACAATTTAGAACACAAATTCTAACACAGTTTTTCACATTTAACAAAAGTCAGTATGCTGCAGTTTTAATTAGTGGATATTTTCAGATAGAATTTGTAGGGTTTACTTTTTTATATATGTTTAGGGTACATTGTACAAAATATGTTCAACACAAGAGTGAATACTCATATTTCATTTTTAGTATATTAGTACATA